AGGAAAGTTATACTAAAATACGACATTAAACAAAATTTCTTTTTATTCTAATATAAAACAAAATAAACAGGTCAAAGATCACAAAAAGCAAGATGTATATAAAAGGTATAAAAAACAATAACTTGGTACCAATTTACTAACATAATAACATTAGAAGTCAAAAAGTTAGATGTCTTAAACTAAGCTTTTTGGTACAAGGAATCTGTGTGCTTTGAGTTTTAACTATGAACTTAAAGCAACTGAAAAGGAAAAGCTAACAGCTACCATAAAGGAAAAAAGCAATCTCTATAGCACTTCAAATACTACTTTGATTTCTGTCAATCCATATAAACAGTTAAAATGTAAATATGCACATACAATTCTGAAAATTGTTCATGAGAACAGTCTCTAAAAACCCAATAACACTTAAAATAGTTTAACTGCCCCACAACCAACCAGAGGAAAGTGAGAGCCCCTTCCATAGCTCAGGTTCTATTTTTCCCCAAACTGGAAAAAACAGAAAGGCACTTTCCAATAAAATATCAGGTTGAGCAATTCAATGATTCTTTTCCATTTTGTTATTTCTAGCCTGTCTACATGTTAAGTTTTTATGATATTGTGGTTTTAGTCCTGGAATGTTTTTTACTGATCTATTTGTTTTTAGAACGTATATCTCAAATGACACATGAACTATATATGTATATCAATACATAAAAACTGATGTCAAAAAATGAAAAAAGCAGAACTCAAAGTAAGTGCATAAATAAATCAAGTGCAATGGGAAATTCAGAAAATAAGGCATCAGAAATATAGCTAAATATTCAAGACTTCTTTCTTCAAAATTGCTGAAGCTCACAATTAACCAAAAATCACCCTTGTGTTAAATCAGGTAAGAAAAAGCTTTTGAACATTACAATCAAAGTTAAAACCCATATCATACAATTACCAAAATAAGTACAGTAGCCCATTTCACCTATACTTCAAATTCCAACGCAGTGAACTGTATGCCCTTTATGTAGGTAACGTATCACAGGAAGTAAGTCTGCTTACCTCGTGTTCCGAAAAAAGTGCTTTCAATTGTCCCTTGGACCAATAATCCAAAGCATATGCCAAAAGCCGCATGGCGATCGTATTAATTCTCAAGAAATTTCCAACAAATACCACCTGGTTAATGTTCTAAGCACATCAAAAAAAGGCAATTAGTTTTCATCTTAATTTATGTTTGCTGGTAAAAGCTATCCCAAACAGAGACCGTGTGCAAAATTTTTAGCAGCAAGCTGACTTCTAATCAAAAAAAGTATTTACATTTAATCCAACTGATCAAGGGCTACTTAAATTTGATCACCAGACAACTCTGGACCCAATTCAAAGCATGCCAAAAAATGTCACAGGAGAAAACAGATTAGGAAAAACATGTATTAAAAGTGACAAACAATAACTACTATTAAATAAAAAGTTTTATACAGATAAGTTAAAAAAAATAGTAAGACCCAATTCAAAGAAGGAAAGTGACATAAATAGGCAAATTATACATCACAGAAAAAAATTTCAACCTTGCTAGTTAACAAAAAAGTAAAAGTTTAGACCTATTAAGTGTTAGCAAAACAACTAACTGAAATTCCACTGCCAACATTAGTCAAGGTTGTGGTAAAACTGATCCATTTATTTACTGCTAAAGATGATATAAATTGGTACAGCCTTTGTGCACAGAAAGCATCCTGGCAATACCTATTAAGATTCATAAGCATGGTCATATTTTTTTAGATGAAAAAATCTCATTCCTAAGTCCCTTATCAAGAATAAAATTCAACCAAGGAATAGCTTCATGCTTAAAAATGCTTTACTACACAGCTATCAAATGCCCAGCCCTACGTGAATGATTTATATAAAAAGACATCAAATATACAGCCATGAAATTTATATTTACAAAACAATATAAAATGGTATGTACACCAAATCTTAAATACATAAATAAGAACAAGGGAACATGCAATAAAGAAAATAGTGTTAACATATTCAAATGAGGTTTTAATTACTTGATGCTGATACAGTATCTTTTTAATTAAAAAGGAGACAGTCCTTTTGCACCTTTTAAGGTTTTCTTTTTAAGCCACATGCCTATAGAAACTGTTTAAAATAATTTTAAACAAAATGTATAAATAAGGACAAGCTATAAAGCTGCACCAAATGGATACCCACGGGAAGGCCATTCTTGGTTCTTTCATAGCCCTGTACAATGCTGCTTGACCTGAATGCTACAAGGCAGCACTGTAAAGAAGCTGAAAGCACAAAGACAGTTCTACTGCAGTGGAGGGGGTGGCAGGGTAAGCAGTCCTCAGCCTGTTCGGTCTTCTCTCAGCTTCAATGACTTCTCTGGATTCCTTCCAAGGGATTCTAGAGCTCCACAATGAGCATGAAGTCTAGATTCAGCATCACTATCCATCATCACCATCCAACAGTCCCCACCATCTGGAACACTGCCTACATTGCTACCTCTCTCTACTTTCTCCTCTACTTCTAGATAGCAGCAGTATTTTTCAGTAAGGAAAAAAAAAAAGATTACAGGTGAAGAGTTTTAAGTTTGCCAATGAAACAAACTCCGCCACATATGGCCACATTGAGGCCCCAGAGAAGACAAATGTTGTACGCAAGGTGGGGCCCACGTTAGAGCAACTACAGAAATCCACGTCCCCTTACTTCATTAAGGGCACACATTCTTGCGATCGAGCCAATGTTGTTGGTGATAGTGATCAAGGTCGCTCTGGCAAGGTCCTCTTTACTGACAGCCTCTCGCTTCTCCTTGCTCATCATGTTGCCAAAGCTGTGATAAAAAAAAAAAAAAATTCCCTTTGATAAACCAAAGTCAACACAGGCCAACAAAACTTGAATGTTACTTGATTAAGATAAAAGTGACTTTTAGAGCAATGTTGTTCAAATCTTCAAATTGTTCATTACAAAATAAAGGAGCATGTGCTCCAAGAGAAATGCAGCCTCAAAGAGAAACCACAAGCACTCTGAGCAAATGGTTTTCCTTGTCCTTTCCACTGAAATCTATCTACTTTTGATACCAGATATTCACACACTCATAAGATACACTGTAAGGCACCATTGCTCCTTCTGCAACCAGGGAAAGTTGCAGGAAGAATCTCTAGTAGCAATTTCTCCCCAACTGCCCAGCTCTTCCACTGGGCTGAATGGTCACATTCACATCTGGTAAACTGTTTTATTCCAGCAAAACAAAATGCAGACAGCTAAGTCCCAGAGTAAACTACTTAAGAGTTTCAGATTTCCCTAGCAGATCAAGTACTTCAAAGTACCTGACCTGCAGAATTGCTACATTAATAACGCTGAACAAAAACAAACCCAACTAATCAGAAAAAGTGATTCCCAATGAGCAAATGCTGCAAACATAGAAAATGAAATCTACAGCACTTACCAAGTACCTAAAATTAGTAAACGAGCATATATGAGTGCCTTTTCTATTATTAAAAACCATGTGCCTCAATACACACAAAACCTTTGTATTTCCGAAGAATCCGAAAATGAAATTAAGAAAACGAATTCCATTTATAACAGCATCAAAGAGAATAAAATGCTTAGGGATATATTTAACAAAAGTATAATACTTGTACACTGAAAACTAAAAAACAGTGTTGAAAGAAAGTAAAGATCTAAATAAATGCAAAGACACTCCATCTTCTTGGATGAGAAGACTAGAAAGTATTAAGATAGCAATATTCTCCAAAATGATCTACAGATTCAACACTATCCCTATCAAAATCTGTTGCTTTTTTTTACAGATATTGACAAGCTGATTTTAAAATTCATATAGAAAGTCAAGGGGCCCAGACTAGCCAAAAAAATCTTGAAATAGAACACTAACTTGTTAGACTCACACTACCCAATTCAAAACTTAGTACAAAGTTGCAGTTAATCAAGGTAGTGTGGTACTAGCATAATGAAAAACATCAATAGAACAAAACTTGAGTTCAGAAATAAACCATACATTTATGGTCAACTGATTTTCAACAAAGGGGCCAAAAGAATTCAATCAGGAAAGAATATTCAACAGAAGGTGCTGGGTTGACTATACCAACATGCAAAAAGAATGAATTTAAACCATACACAAAAATTCACTCAAAACGGATCATAGACCTAAATGTTAGAGCTAACTAAAACTATAAAACTCTTATAATAGAGAAGTAAATCTTTGTGATCTTAGGCTATAAAACTCTTATAACAGAGAAGTAAATCTCTGTGATCTTAGGCTAGGCAGTGATTTCTTACATGTAATACCAAAGCATAAGTGATGAAAGTGAAGATAGATAAGATAGACTTCATCTTATCTATTTAAATTTAAAAATTCTATGCTGGAAAGGACACCATAAAGAAAGTGAAAAGACAACCAGCAGAATGGGAGAAAATATTTGCAAACTGTGTATTTGATAAGGGATTTGTATCCAGAACATGTAAGAATTCTTACAACTCAATAATAAGACAAATACTCCAGCTAAAAAATGAAAGACTTGAACAGACATTTCTCCAATGAGTTGATAGACAGATAGTCAATAAGTACATGAAAAGATATTCAACATCCTTATTCATCAAAGCAATACAAATCAAAACCATGAGAAATTACTTTATACCTATTAAGGCAGTTAAAATCAAAAAGACAGTAAGAAGTGTTAGCAAGGATATGGAGAAATTTGAACCCTAATATGCTGCAGGTGGGATTGTAAAATGGTGCAGCCACTTTGGAAAACAATCTGACATTTCCTCAAAAGATTGTACCACATGATCCAGCAATTCCAGTCCTAGGTATATATCCAAGAGAATTATAAAACAGTATGTCTACATAGAGACTTGTACATGAATGTTCGTAGCGGTATTCATAATAACCAAAAGTTGAAATGACCCAAATGTTTATCAACTGAGAAATGGATGTTATACATTCATATAACAGAATATTATTCAGCAATATAAAGGAACAAAGTTCTGATTCATGCCACGACATGGATCAACCTTGAAAATATACTAAATGAAAGAAGCCAGTCAGAAAAATCACATATTCTATGATACCATTTATATGGAATGTTCAGAACGGGCAAATCTATAGACAGAAAATAGGTTAGTGTTTACCAAAAATTGGGGTGGGGGAATGGGGAGTGATAGCTAATGATACAGGTTTCTTTCTGAGATGATGAAAATACTCTGAAATTGGACTATGGTGATAGCTGTGCAATTCTATAAATATACTAGAAACCACTAAATTGGACACTTTAAACAGGTGACTCTATATTATGTAAAGCTGTTTAAAAAAGGAAAAGATATACCCAATATTTAATATTTTATTCCTGTGTTTCTTAGAACACATGCCCCCTTACCTCGAAGCCACAGCCCAGCCTGGCAGTCCAAACCTCTCATAGTCTCCTCCATAAATGTCTCGCACTAGTTTATCCACTTTGGTGCTATCTCCACGAGATGCCATTTCAAGAGCTTCTTCAAAAGTAGTACAGCCAGTAAGCAGACAGCAGAGACCAAAAAAAGTTCCTCCTCCAAGACTGTGATTAAAAACAAACAACATAGTATTATAACATTTTTAAAATTGAACCCAAAACCATGTTCACGTATCAATCCACTCTTGCCTCAACCCAATCATGCAGATGCCACCTGTAAGAAACAAGACTGTGAAAAGGTAAAAACAAGTACCTAATAGACATCTTGGAAGATACATGTTCACGTGCTCCAATAAGCAAAGTAGCAAAACACAGGGCTCACCTCCCCACTCATGTCTCTGTTCAGTATGGGCACCTGCTGAGTATAAGGAGCCTCAGGTACAGATCAGCCCACCACACCAAGGACTATGCTGGCACCTCCCCGCTTTCTCCAAGTGCCTGCCCCAAGTCATCCTCATGCGCCCCATCAACACTCTTGCGTGAATGTTTTCCCCCCAAAAATTACTCCACTCATTCTTTAACCAATACCTATTAAAAAACTTGTTTATCCCAATCTCTAGCTCCTTATTTTTCAATTGATCTCTGATCCTTCAACCAAAACGTATTCACTCTCATCTGCCACCAAATTTTCCCTTTTCAGACCACCCTCCCTCAATCATTTTTGTAGTGCTCAGTATGCCTCAACTTCTAGATCGCACACCATCCCAGGGTGGCGGGGAGTGGGGGTGTGGGAGGTGTGCTTGTGTGTGCACGCACACACATATATGCGTACAAACACACATGTATGTGTATACATGTATAAAATCTAGACCAATTTCAAAACTAGGATCTTGCCTTGCCTTCTCCTTATACTATCTACCTTTGGTTACTTTATGGTATATGCACGCCACATACTGAGGGCAGGGACTATGGGATCCATGAGTTGGCTGATGAGATATTTTATATATATAGCAATGAAACCTTGAGCAATAGAGATTAAAGAGATCATGAAATCAGAACTTTCAAAGAGAAACATGTTTGTATAATTCTAGAAAAGTTATATCTTCCACATAATTTTAACATTATATGCAATACCTGAAAACTCAGTGTTAACCCATTATATCAAGAATAAATAATGACTTTTATATAAAAACCTACCTGGTACCAGTGACCCGCTTGTAATTATCTTTGGAATATACTGCTAAGATGCTAACCCCAGAGCCAATGTTCACCAGAAGCAGAGGGTATGGATTTTTCAAATCAAACGGTAACTTCTGACATTTTTCAGAATCAGCAGGGTTTTCAAAGTAATAACATTGTGACCGTCCATTGAATCCAACTGAGTCAATATATAAAATTCCTTTTATTAAGCAATCTAGTTCATCAAGTTTGCAAAGCTGAAGATCACCTATCTGTAATGAGATAAAAATGTTTTCAGACTTTTTAACAAGCCAAACAAATAAAAACTCCATTTAACAAGGTATCCCATCTACAAACCATAAAAATGTTCATAGATGTGTTTTATTTGTGCATGTTTTACAGATCTGTAGACCACAAACATAACTATGGACCGACAAGACAGACTCTTGCTCCCACAGACCCAAATACACTCTACCTACAAACCACTGCAGCAGCTGGAGAAATATGCCAAAAACCTGAGCAGAAAACAAGATGGCTGCTCACAGACATGAAGCAGAAGCATAGCTGAGATCACAGCCCTATCAGAAACCAGGCTCCAAGAAATCCAAGTAATGCAAGGACCTGGTGACACCTGGCGGGAGCCACAAAGACTGACATCTGCCTTCCAAAGAATATCTTCAAAGCTACGGAGCAGTATCGAAGTAGGCTACCCTTTATTATTAATAACCTGAAGCCAAAAAGCTGAAAATGGCCAATTAGAAGGCAAGATTTTTCACTATCTAAACAAGTTACATCTTCTGGAAGACAAGGGGATTTTAGCAGAATCAGAATTTAGAACACTGTTATCAACTTAATTCCATTCAAATAACTATTTTAGGAATTTCATTTAAATAAATTATTATTCCTATTATGTAACACTATACAAAAATTCAGAATAAAAAGGATCTTTATTCCATTAATAATTAAAGTGGAAGGAACTTCAAGACATGTTGTTAGTCAAAAAAGCAAGCTGAGAAACATTTTATAAAATATGATCCAATCTACCTATTTTTAAAACCTATTTTAATGTGCACATATATGTGTCACACAGTCATGCATAAAAAAACTAAAGATATGTAAGCTTTTAAGAGTGGTGACACTGAATTTTAAAAAAAAACCTTCCACATTTTACTCCATGAACTTCTAACCCATTTGAATTTTACAAGCATATATACTCAATATATGTGACAAACGTAAAGATGCCTCAATCCCCAAAAAAGGAAAAGGTTTTGTTTACAACCAAAGTCAGCCCTACAAGTTCTCCCCATTTAAGTCACCTCCCATTTGATTTCATTTACATGCAATTCATTCTGATTCATAGTGGAAACACAATTAATAGGTAACTTCATCTTAATCTTTAATTAATAATCCCTAATTAAGAATATTAAGTTACTCTTCTGGCCAAACCCAAGCCCTTTAATTGTTCATCGCTGTCTTCATTTCATATCCTCAAGCCCTTCTTGTCAAGACAAATTTAAATACTGACTTCCTGACACTTGAATCTCAAGTGCCAGCATTTTCATTTCTAAGCCAAATCATTTTACACCAGTGTCCTATTATAATCCAAGTAGTATTCTGCCATTATATGCCCAACCAGTATTTCCTTTTATCCTTCCCATAATTTGTGTTATCTTGAAGTGTTCTGTTGTGCTATTACTCCTTATGAATCCCAGCCTAACTGGATATAGTTAGAGGCTGAATGAATGCATAAATCAATTTCACTAACTCAAGTGACTCAACGTAGGTGTTATATCAACGTACAAACTGTCAGGAAATCTGATTCACATTAAAAAAGAAACAGGGTAAACGCAGTATTTTTAAAACTATTTCACTGTAGTTTATTAAATATTAGTGACTTCTAATGCACAAACAGGATTTGATAGGCATTTAATTTTCAGTTCTCAAGGCTAATGCTGGTACATACAAATGAGAAACCCCAAAAGCCTAAGAAGCAATTCCTAGGGTCTAAAATACACTTGCACCGTCTCCTTAGATTTACCACACAATGCTGAACCTCTGGCAACAGCCTGAATGGTTACCGAATATGTTCCAAAGGGCATCTCTGCAGGGTCCTGGATATAGGGAGGTTTTCTCTCCTTTATCTATCAGTTATAGTCCAGAGTCAACTATGAGGCTTCCACAAAGAAGGGAAAACTTCTCTCCTCCTGCTGCCTTCCCCTTTACTCGCAGGTAGAAAAGAAACCACTGAAAACCAACAACCGAGAGAAATTCAAGCAAAAAATATAAAACCTGTTTAAAAATTCATTTTTAAAATTCAGTTCTATATTATGACTATGGTCAGTTACGGGAGAAAGTCAGGAGATACAGGACAAAGAAGACACGGTCATAAAATCATACGGCAGGTGCTGTAGGTATAAAAAATAAAAAATAAAAAATAAGGGATTGTAAACTGACAAAGTCCTTGCAATCTGTGAGGTCAACCAAGGGTTGCCTTGCCTAAAAAAATGATTAATTAATTAAAATCATGCGGTGACACATAAGGAGAAAAAGAAATATGGAATATAACACAGGCAAAGGCAGAATCTCAGGAACAATAGTCTCACTGGTGGCATTAGAAACATGGTCACTTAAGATATTTTAAATCTATATCACACCCTGAAGGTCAGCGTCTCAGCCAATTCACTTGGCAATTCTCCCACCTACCACCACCTCCACCTTCAAAGGGCCTAACACCACGAGGCCTTGCACACAGTGTTCACTGAATAAAAACCAAATCAAGTGCCCACTGGCACTCCATCTAGTGTCCAGACATGATTCAGAGATGGCTGTTAACAAGTGTGTAGCACAGAAAACATCAGAAGGCATTTGCAAAGAGGAGACTCTGTCATCAACCAACTCTGACTATTCCTGAGGTCTGAAAACCACTGCTTTAGACCAGAGTTCCTTGTATTTTAAAAAAGCCAAGAAGCACTGAAGGGAACAAGAGAAACTATATGATAGAGGAGGTTCGAAACAAATTTATGACATGAAAAGACAAATTTTAAAAATTATTTTTCAATCTCAATGTTCGAGATTTAATGGTATCATTTCTTATAGGTAGTTCCTTACTCTGCTTATTACAGCTTCACTATTTTTTCATACTAAAGAACAATAAATTGCTACGCTTTTAGTGGTTCTGATTCTCATCAACTCATATGAACTGGACAAAAACTATACAACAATCTCTAGGTGGCTATTTTCTGACTGTCACTAAATTATACTTAATTTGACTCAAGAAAATTCAAGTTCCATTAGAGATGGAAATGATTCTACCACTTGCTATAGGTATTATTTTTAACAATCAGATTACCGTAAATTGTATATAAGCTAAAAAATGCATACTGTGAGAAAATCCTGCTCAAATTTGTACGCTCCACCTCCAGTGGCACAAAAGACAGTGTGGAGACTCGAGAAGTTTTTATCTCTGCCCATTTGAATAAAAGCAGGCATGTCATGAGTGGGAAAGCGTATAAAGTGCAGATTGCCTTTGCGTCCACACAGAGTCAGGTCCTTCAGCTCCAGGTGCACATCCCGAATACCTGTGGACCCATAAGCCACATTGGAGGTCAGGTACTTCCGAATGCTTTTAAGACTTTCCACTTCTTCCTCTTCTTCTTCAGCAGTGATGTCTTTGGGTTCGAAATAAACCAGCTTGACCAGGGTTCCACCAATATCCAAGCCAAACCACGGAAAAACTAAATGGGAGGAAAAAAATGTCAGAACAGCTTTTCATGAAAACTAAATTTACACCTACTAGATTAGCAACTTTTTTCATACCCTGAGGTTTCTAAGGACTATACAAACAAAAAGGTTTGGGGGAGAAGAAATATGATTGCCTGATTTGGAAGCACATCTAAAAAACATTACAAAGATCAGAAAGAAAAATATTAGAATATTGAGCCAACCCAAACCTCTTATACAGACGAGCCCAAAATGTACTATAACACATTTTAAAAAAAAAAAGACTACCCATGAACCTCAACTCTGGGGAAAAAAAGATTGAGACTGAAAACCTTCACCCTCCCCTTGGCTTACAGAAGAAATGCTGAGACTTTTCAGTTCTGGTTTAGTACTCAAACTAGGAGTAGAGGAAATGCTAAACCCTATGCAACATAAGCTTCAGTGTTCAATTTCTCTCAAAACAGGATGTCCTAAAAAAAGTTTCCATGGACTTCTGTGCAACAGATGTTTCAAAGTTAATGTTACCAAAAAAATCCTTTCCAAAAAAGGGCTTCAGAAAATTGGATCAAGATAGACTGCATAGATACACATGCATGACTTCTCCTCTCACCTTAAATCCTAGAAATGACAAAGATATAATTTGACATACTATTTTCTAAAATAATTTTGAGAAACAAGAAGTGATACACTCAGCAGAACTAGGCTGATAAGAGCAGTAACTATCCAGAAACCTCAGAAGAATAATGCTATAAAAACTGACAGAAGCTATAAAGGCGGGGGTAGAATAGAAGTGTTCCATTCAAGCTATAGATGGAATAGCTGCCATGGGAAATAGGAGCTCTGGTGCAGTCATGGGTGATCTGGTGAGGAAATGCATTTGGCGCAACTGGCCAAGCCAGTCACTTCCTTCTACTGAAAACCACTACCCAACTCCACCCCCGCAGCCCCACAGAGGCAAAGTCTTCAATGAGCCCAGGCACTTGAGCCCTGAGATTCAGGATAGCACCAAAGTAGCTGCTATTACTCAGAAGAAATGAGTCTATTTCTGGCCATATGTCCCATCTCTTCCCTACAATCTATCCTGACTGGTAAACAGACGCTACAATCACTGACAGGAAAACAGCCATCTTCAAAGCAGAGATGATCACTTTTCAAAGTAGAATTACCAAAAAGGAAATCAACACAAAACGAGAAGCTAAACATCTGAAGAAAGAGTTGCAGGGACAAATAGGAGACTTAATCATAAATATCCTCAAAGGTAAAATGAGATCTCATCCATGAAAAATGAATAAACTACCATTAAAAAAAAAAAAATGAGAAATGATTGCCAGCTGTGGTGGGGCTTTCAAAACAAAAAAGGCAGGGAGGAGAGACTACTATATACACAAATGAAATCTCAGGCTGAGTGCAAGAAGCCTTACACAAAAAGCTACATACTGTATGATTCCATCTATATGAAACTCTAGAAAATGCAAGCTAATCATTTCTGGATCTGATAGAAAGCAGACCATAGGCTGGGGAGAGGGGGAGCAGGGAAAGACTGCACAGGGGTAACCCAAATCTTGATGGCTGGGGCAAAGGGGTAGCTTCATGGGTGTATATATCTGTCAAAATGCATGGGATTGTAAACTTTAAATGAATGTAGTTTATTGTATGTAAATTATACCTCAATAAAAACACTTTTACAAAAGAAAAAAAGGAGAAAAAATTTACTTCCAAAATAAAGCTTAACAAATACATTTAATAAAATAGGCACAAAAAAAATAGAAAATTATAAGAAATTCTCCTAAAATGCCTCGAGTAGATTATGAAAGAAAGTCAGATATAAAGAATGCAGAACCAGAGTCCAACATCTATGTTATTATATGCGTTCTAGAAATTTTCTAGGACAGATAGGGGTGAAAGGACAGGTTCAAAGATCCACTAAGTGTTAAACAGAATTAATTAGTGGAGAAAGGAGAGACTTGAACACAAAAATGAATTCCTACAAAGATACATACATAAACCACATGAAGACAAAATTAGACTTCGTCCACACAGATGCTAGAAGAGCAATAACTTCAAAGTTATAAGGAAAAGTATTCTGAAACTCACATCCAGACAAATCAGCTTTTAACTGGCATTGCAAAAGAAATTTTCACACAGCAAAGAGCTCAACATTTACTACTCAAAGATCTTCTCTGATATAATTTGTAAATATACTCCAATATAATATTAAAAGCATCCAAGATATGAACTATAAGAAACAATAAGAAAAAGAAGCAACATGCGCTGACTTTTAGAAAAATAAGCAATCTGGAACTAAAATACTTAAATGATTTCAACACAGGAAGTAGAACAGGGAAGAGAAAGGAGAGGGAAGTGAAAGCAAGCAGCAGTTCTGTCTTCTTGGGGAAAGGAAGATACAGATTCTCATTAATTCTAAACAAGAATAATGAAGTGACGGTTTAAATGTGTTAAAAATTTATAGGCAACTCCAGAAGAGAAATAAACATTATGATCCTCAAACAAGTACGAAAAAATACCAGTTCAAAAACAAAGAAGAAAAACAGTATGGTAAATACAAAATTAAAAATGGCAGAAATAACTATCAGATAATAAGGTGATCTATTAAACAAAAATATAACTTTGTATCAAAAATATCAAATACACTTTTGTTTCAAATACTCACAAACCGTTCACAAAAATTAACTGCACTAGCTTAAATAACCTCAAATTTAAAAGAATAAAAACTACATTCACTTTTGACAATACCTCAAAATTAGAAATTAATCCAACAAACACAAAAAAATAAATCTATCCCCCTGGAAATTTTTAAACCCACTATTATAAACTCTGAGATTAAAGAGAAAATCAAAACATTTAAAAATAAATGACAATGAGATCACTACACATCAAAAACAATATGCTACATTCAAGGTGATACTCAAAGAGAAACTTCTAGCCTTAAGTACTTATCAAATGTATTCAAAAAGAAGCCTGATTAAAAGGGAATGTCACACACAATTTGAAATGCTAGAAAAATAAAACAGAGCAAACAGACCCAAATTAGAAGTTATTAAAGATAAAAAGCAAGATATAAAAGAAATTAGAAAAATATCATTGTTGTAAACAAAGCCACAGTAGAGCTGATCAATAAAATTAAGCTTTGAAAAAACCATCAGACAAATTTCTGGTAAGCCTATCCAAGAAAAAGAGAGAAAATACAGCTTTTCTTTTTAAAAAAAGATCAAGAAGATGAAAGAGTATATAACAAAGATTATACAAATAAACCCATATACAACTTTAGAACAATGTTTAAAACGTAAACTAAACAGATCAGCTAGAAGAAACAGAGTACAAAAGGTTGCTCAAAAAAGGTAGAAAACACAGAAATCAAAAACACTGAAAATTGTGAAAAAGTGGTCAAAGATCTATCACCCAAACAACAACAAAAAAAAGCATCAGACTCTATGATTTCCAGGTAAACTTTGAAGAGCTTCTAAAGAAGTCATTCTTACTTCATATCAAAACTAGATTGTTGCAGCAGAAAAGTTGCAAAAATCGGATGGGGGCGGGGGGGCGGGCGGGGAGGAACCAAGCAGTACTAGGAAATTTGGAGAACTCAGGTTTATTATGCACAGTCCCAGAGGAGCTAGCGCTCTGAAGATCTGAGCCAGGAGCTCAGTTGCAACATTGCTTTATAAAACTTATTTGGCATGGGCTGATTGGTTAATTTGTCCTCAGATGGTTACAAAGCACTGGGGGAGTTCCTATGGGTTGCAGGAAGTTATAAAGAGTTACAAAGCCCCTGAGTTGCTAGGGGGTACAGGCAGTTACATTTGTTGCTTAGACAGAACAAGCAAAAGGGAAGATGAATCTTTAGTTAATTTTGAGTAAGGCCTCTGCAGCAAGCATATCTACAAAAGAAGAACAAAGAGCTGATTAGCCTTTTGAGTGAAAATTCCTCTTCATTTTCTTACAACATAAACCCAAAAACATGAAATTATTAAATACAATAGAGTTGTGCAGTAGAAGAATACACCAGAGCCAATGGGGATTCTTCTCAAGAATGAAAGGATGGTTTTCACAGTAGAAATTCCAATTAATGAGGCCTGCTTACATTACTAAATCGCAGGAGAAAAACCAATTCGACAGACTCCAAAAAGTAAAAATTAAGAAAAATCAATTAAATCAACAGAACTAATGAAAAATTTTTAAGTATTTGAATACAAAAAAAATATAAATACCAACAGCTTTCCCCTAAACAAAACCATAAGAAAATGACATAAAAAATGTACACAACAAAAGCCTCAAAATATTTACGAATAAATTTAATACTAAATATGTATGACAGCTATTAAAATGGTATGTTGAAAGACACAGCAATAGGAAAATGTACCCTGTTCTAAGAAGGAAAATCTTATTAAAATATCCATTCTCCCCAAATTAATAACAATGTCAATATAATTCTAAAGAACACTATGGTTGACTCCCCAGCAGCCATTCCACCTCAATCCCAAGAAGTGTCATGACTTCTTCGTATCAACAAAAATTCCACTGCCAGTGACAGGCCTAACCCAACCTGGCACGAGTCAGGCAAACAAAATCTGTCCCTAGCACCTAAAAGAAAAAAAAAGTTTCTTCACTCTTAAAAAATCAAGAGCTGGATATTACTGAAGCAAGGAGATTTAATTCCTATTGACCTACTAGTAGTGCCATTCTTTGACCATCAACTTTAGGATGATGTCGACCTTATGGATAGTAAAGGAGAGTTACGGCACTCTGCCAACGAACATATTACATCAACAGGACTGGAACCTGAAATTTTGGCTATACCTAAGACCAGTGGAAGATTCTACAATGCAAAAATCTTAAAGCAAATTAAACCTTACTCCTGTTCCCTTAGATTAAAAAATTGGAACATTAGTATACAGCTTTTATGTTTTAAATGATCATCTATTAACAGCCAAACACTATATTAGGACTTACTGAATAACTTATTTAATTATTACAATGACCAATGCAAGTACTA